CTTAGTCTTGTGGCTCACGTCTACCCGGTCAGGTCCTTCATTCTGATGAGTGCGAAGGAAGATAAGCGCTTACAATGTTGTCGATGTCTCTGTAGGATGTCAGGTTAGTTACAGAATGCTGCCCTACGCAGGGTATGGGCTGTAGTACAGTGGTTTTGACTTATGAGCCTCCCCCAGCCTTGCTCCGCACGCCTTCTGGTTCCCATGAGTCCTCGTTGGAGGAACGCGGGGTCGAGGTCCGGTGTAGCGCCGTGGCTAAGGCCTTCTGACTGGGTGGACCTGAGGGGTCGGGAAGTGGGCGCCGCTCCCTCGGGTCCACAGCGTGGTGACGGAATATCCGTCGTTCGTGGAGATAGCAAATCCCTTCCTGGAGCGTAGCGGTTGTCGTATATCTTCGTCGGGTTCCGTGTCCTAGAGCTGAAGGTGGCGCCTACAACTCTACAGGGCGATGTACACGCACCTGTAATGCCTTTTGGGTTCTGCGGCGCCTGGAAGGGTCTAAAGCACCTGTCCTGTCGTTCCCTGGCAGTACTTTTCCTGCCAGGGCGCAGGGTATGGTCCTTGGAGCCATGGTTGACCCGAACGTCTTGTCTCGTCCTGTACCCATCATCATGAGGGATAGATATCGATCAGGGCGAGGCTCGTTCTTGGCCGTCGGGTGAAACGGAGACCAATCCCTATCTCTTGGGCGAGACTAACCCCGCCCCTCCGGGATCGGGCGAGGCGGAATCCATCCCTCAGCCCTCGGGCTAGACCGAGCCCGCCCTAAAGGCGTCGGGCGAGGCGGAGATTAACCCTGAGCCTTTGGGCGAGGCAGGGTTATCCCACAAAGGCGTCGGGTGAGGCTGACCCCGCCCCTCCGGGATCGGGCGAGGCAGAATCCATCCCTCAGCCCTCGGGCGAGACCGAGCCCGCCCTAAAGGCGTCGGGCGAGACGGAGTTTATCCCTCGGCCCTCGGGCGAGACCGAGCCCGTCCCAAAGGTGTCGGGCGAGGCGGAACCGAACTCCTGTCACTCGAACAAGGGATGACACGGCGCCCTTGTGCGTCCAGAAGTTTTTCACGTTCGGTGGTTATTGGTTCCACCTTCTGGGGTACCCTGGTATTAGGTCCCCGACAGCAGTGCACAACATAACATAACAAAATAGCAAATCTGAAATCTCTCCTCTCCCAATAACAACAAATTAGACTCTAGTGAGATAACATCATCTAAGCATGACCATTCAAGCAATCTCTCATCTCCATTCTAATTGCAGTGGTAGTTCTGATACATGCTTTTGTGTCTCCAAAGCCAACAGCCAGATGTTTCTTCACCCTTTTTATGCTCCATAAAATGAGACTACATAGGGAGCATGCTACCACATCTTTGCTTTGAAGGTTTGGCCAGTATGCATACTTCCATCCTGGATCCTCAACATTTCCCATCCGAGCTAGATTAGTCTTAGGATCATAATCACCGGTGATGGAAGATGAACTTGCCATTGTGCTATCAGCCGTAAAAACAAAGATGGACTTATGCACCCATACCAAAGCAGAGTAGAAGGAGCAGATCACGACTACAAAGAAGCAGAGCAGAGGAAGAAGGGGGAGGAAAAGCAATGCGGCAGAGGAAAGATGAGGGGAGGATTGGAGCAAGACCATAGGAAGGAGACGCCGAGACGGGAGGACATACCTGCGGTCACGGATGGGGCGGGAATCACGGTCGTGGATGGGGCGGAAGTCGCGGACGTGGTTGGGGCGGGAGTCGCAGCTCGCGGTCACAAGCGCCGCCAGGGCGCCACTGCGCTCATCTCTCTCCCTCTCGCCTCCCTTTCGCCTCCCTTTCCCTACCTGGCGCGGATGCGGAGTCTTGGCGGCAGATATACGCGTGCAGCTCCTCCTTTTCCCGCGCGCTCGCAGCTCCTCTTTTCCGGCCCCCCGCGTGCGCAGCTTCTCTTTTCCCACCCCGCGTGCGCATCTCGCCGCTCTTCCCCGCGCGCTTTCATTGCCACAACGTCCGCCTCAGCGAAATCCGACAATGAAAGAGAAGCTGCGGGGAAGAGCGGCGAACACCATACCTGAGCAGGCTGCGGTTCTGCTATGAGGTGACACCATACCTGAGCAGGCTGCGGCGAACAGGATGCTGCATTTCAAAAACCGCTCGGACGCCTAGGCGACGCTTTAGTAACTTTGAAATCAGTATTGTCAAATCAGCTGGTTCCAAAGTTTTGTCCACCTTGGTCTTAGTAAACCAAAATAGCCTTTGTTCGGGGGAAGGTGTATTCAAGATAATATCTCCTCTCTTTTTAGAAAAAGGGTAACGAACTCAGTTACAAGAACCATGGGTTGCCAGCGCACATTGCACAGGTTACTCACAGAGCGGAGAACACTATGCAAACCACTTCAGCGTAACACAAAAAACTAACAAAAAACACTAGGTCTTGCTTGGTCATTGTTATCATTACTCCTAAAGACTTCCAGCCATCTCCGGTTTTTTTTATGATAATTCTTCAAGGTGACCGGAAGGTCCCGGATTCGAGTCGTGGTCTCCTCGCATTGCACAGGCGAGGATAAGGCTTGTCACTGACACCCTTCCCCAGACCCCGCACAGAGCGGGAGCTCTCTGCACTGGGTACGCCCTTTAATTCTTCAAGGTGAAGCTTGTCAGAAGCAGTCCGCAAAGTCCCCCATCTCTGCAGACAGAGAATTTTTGGATAAAACGTCAGTTGAATCCTTGGGAAATACTTTTTCAATCTACATTTTGTTTCTTTTTTTAAAAAAAAAAACTGAAACCTTGAAACCTGAAGCCAAACAAACAAGAGAACAAGGCCAACAAGAAGGTGGCCAACCCCAAAAACACACTCACGCAAGAGAAAGAAGAAAACAAGAGAGAAAGAAAAGAAAACCTAGCTACTGGATAGAACAAAAAAAAACTACCAAAACCTAAAGACTGCTAAGCCAGACCAAAATGCTTTGATGAAGCTCCGTCCAAATTCTGAACAAGTGTAACAAGATTTCCCATTTGTGAGCAGCTTTCCAGGAGCTCAAACTAGGAGCAGTGCCCTCGAAGATGAAAGCGCTCCTCTCATTCCAGATGCACCAAGCAGACTCCATGTGTTATCTCCCAGAATCCCCAAGTAAACGACAAATAAAAAGAGTGAGGACATATGTGTTATCTCCAGAATTAACCAATCCTCGGTATGTTATCCCAAATCAGTGGAAAGATATCCAGCACTCCAGCACAACTGTGAAATGTTTACATAGACAAAAGGAACCTCATGTTTTCGTCAAACTGGACATTTCCAAGGTGTTTGATTCAGTGTCCTGGGCATTTATGCTGAAAGTCTTGATCAAATTGGGTTTTGGACGACACTGGCGCAACCTCCTTAGCACATGCTTGTAAATGGGGATACAGGAAAAGGAGATTATTCACCAGCGTGGCCTCCGTCAGGGCAATCCACTCTCTCCAATGATCTTTATTTTTCTAATGGACAAGAGAACAAGAGGGTTTCTTTGGAAGGGTCAAGAACAGGATAATGGTGGCAATTGTTTGGTTTCATGGCAAAGGGTTCAAAGACCTACCCAGTACGGCAGGCTGGGAATCCATGATCTGTCTCTCATGTGCTGGGTGATGCGTATTGGATGACTGGCTAGAAGAAAAAAACAGACCCAACCAAACCATGCACAGGTTTTCAGATTCAGGTTCACCAAGATGAGATTTTTGAAAGGGACCCAAACTCAGTTGGTCGCCGCTCCTTAGTAGCATCCCAGCAACTTGGGTTGGATGCCCCACGGGATGAATTTTGGGGCTGGGCTGCAAAATTCCCCCTTGCTTGCAAGCCAAAATTTGGGTCTGCACGGTCAGGGGTTCAGAGGGTTTCTCAGTTAGTGAAGGCAGAGTTCCTCTTAATGAAATGCCATGGGGATGATCTTCCCCGACCAACCGAGTTTTTGTTATAAAACGCGCTTTTATTTGCCATGGCCATGACCAAAAAAAATGTGGGTAATGGTTCCAATATCAAATTCTGGTTTGATCAATGGATACAAGGAAAGACTATGGCTGACATTGCACCTAATCTTCTTGCAATGATCCCTCAAATAATTATCAACAAGAGAACAGTGCAGGGAACCTTGGACATCTGGTGTTGGGTGGGCGATATTAAAGGACCTCTCTCTGACACTATCCTGGTGGAATATCTCCACTTATGCGAAATTTCAGAAAACATTCACCTTCAACAAGATGTTCAGGATCGGCGTATCTGGAAGCTTACTAGCTCCGGTACCTACTCTAGCAAATCTGCCTATAATGAATTCTTTTTTGGGACCATTAGGTTCACTCCATGGAAGAGGATTTGGCAGTCTTGGGCCCCTTAAGGTGCAAGATTTTCATTTAGTTTGAGGTCCTTAATTGCTGTTGGACGTCTGAGAGGCTATCAAAGCTGGAACTACCACACCCGGCAGCACGTCCACTTTGTGATAAGCCCCAGAAACCATTAACTATATGCTGATTTCATGTGTGGTCACAACTCGCAAGGGCACTGTGGTTCACTGTTTTTCAGAAATTTGGTTTGCATACTCTCACCACAACAGGATGTTAATTTCTTCTCAGGATGGTGAAATGAAGGGTTCGGACAAGGAGCACCACAACACTTTGATCATCTTCAGTCGCTTGGGAAATTTGGAAACACTGTAACAACAGCAATTTTAACAATGTTCAGATAAGGTACTCTTTCTTCTTAATGAAAATGACAGACACTTCTCCAGCGCTGTTCGAGGAAAAATACACATGGGATACGCTTCTGATAAAACATCAAAGAAAGCAATATTAATGATCATTCATGGATAATTACATCATACTAGTGGGACACTTTAACAGATTATAGCACATAAGGTCACATGGTTTATGCGGTCAAAATGAAAAGAAAGCATCTGCATAAGCATTGTTTGCACTTGTTGGCAGTAGTGCTTGTATGGCAATAAGGCTTAGACAGTGCCAGCTCACCTGGCATCTCATTTTGTATCCTAGTCCTTCAGCTTCTTACTTCCCTTTGGTTTAGCAATAGGCGCATTCATGCCAGCCATTTTTGCATTATACTTTGCTCGCAGAGGCCCATTTGTTGACCATCTGAAAAAATCATTAAGAAATTATTAGTCCAGAATCAGTACAGGTGTTTTCCTGTTATAAAAGACCAACATACAGCAAATGTTCGAAGCAATTCAATCGATAGATATGTACTAAGCTTTGAGGTTTTGACGAATTAGCAGATCAAAGAACTGCAGTCAAATTCTGTCTCAAAAGCTACAATAGTTATGTCAGGGGGCCTCCATTGGACTTCCTAATTAAAAGCATCCAAAATAAGTAGCTTTCAGCCCATCAAAATTTCACTAGGAAATTAGAAATGAAAGCACTTGCAAGAATACTAAACAAGCCAACTGAATAATATCACGAGTAAATAACGATGCAACAGACATATGTACTTACGGTGCATTCCAATCTGTAGTGTCCTCATTAACAAGATGTGTCCATTTTGTTCTGCCACTGCGCCCGAAATGTTTAACTTGCATGACCTTGGGCAGGATGCTCTTATCCATCTTATCTTCACCAGTGGGTTCAGAGACATCACGGCTGTAGATATCATCTTTACCAGCTGACTGGATAACATCATCAGCACCTTCCTGGAAGAAAGCACCTTTGTGGTAATACTTCTGCATGAATTTCCACTTCTGTTTCGTTGTCTGACGAAGTGGCTTCGGATTCTTCCGCTCCCATTCCCGACGCTCCTCCTCGGTCATATTCCTGACCTTCTCGATCTCCTCCTTCTCCTTCAACCTCGCATCCCTTTCCTCTCTGTCCCTCTTAATTCTTGCTATTTCTCTGTTTTTCCATGCCTCATACTCCTCTGCTTCATTCAACTCGTCGTCTGTATCGACATCCTCAATGGTGGCCTCTTCATTCAGCGCCTTCTCAATGTGCTGCTCCTTTCTAATCTCTTCAACCACAATCTGTCTAGTCTCAATCTTCCTAGCCTCCAGCCTCTTCTTGACCAGCTCCTCGAGCTGCCGCTCCTCCTCCTCCAGCCGTTCACGCTCCGCAATGGTGTCTCTCTGTGACTTTGGTATGAACACAGGCTTCACCATGGCCATGCCCATCTGCTCATCCTCAGAGTCCGTCTCATACTCCGACTCCTCCTCAGACTCCTCATCCTCCACCGGTTCCTCCTCTTCCTGAGGAAGCAGCTCTTCCTGCTCCCTCAACAGCTGCCTCTCCCTTATCCTCCTCCTCCTCTCCTCCTGTGCCTCCTCATCCTCCTCGTCGACGTCAGCCTCCTGCCTCTCGTTCTCCTCCTCCGCGGTCGACACAATCTCCGCCTGCCGTATGCGGCGGTGATCGGCCCTCAGCTCCTCCTTGTTCTCCGCGCGAGTCTCCGCGAGACGGCGAAGCCGTCGTCATCCTTCGCGGGGACATCGCCGTCGTCGTCCTTGGGGAACGCCTTGTCGACCCGTGTCGTCCTGAGATCGATGTCCTCATCGGCGTCGTCAGCCCACTCAGGCGGCTTTCCCGGCCAGTACCGTTTGACCTTGGTCTGGCCAATCTTTCCACGGAGCTTGTCGCGCACCGCGATGGCCGCGTCGCTCACGCCGGCCGCCACGGACATGGCTGCAGTTGCTCACCGATTCCCCACTCCTGTGTTCTGGTCGACCTGCAAAGTACACAAATCGTGATGTCAGACAAGAGCTGGGGTGGATCCACAATAGCACTTGGGTATATGTATATGCGTGTATTTGGGTCAGATTCCAATTCGAATAGAAATAGCTTACTAAGGGTTTGGGATGCTCGGTTTCGGACAGCGGAAAGGGAAAGTAAGGAACGGCGAGGAAAGGGGAAGGGAAGGAGCGTACCTGGTGGATGCTCGCCGCCGGCGAAGACCTGGGAACGGGTCGCGCCGCCTCGCCGAGCCGTCGCCGCCAGGAAAGAAGAAGGGCACGAGGGAGAAGAAGGCCACGGGAGGTTTTTTTTTTTTCTTTTCTTTTGTTTAATAAGTCGGTGGACGGGGGAAAGAAGAGCCAAACTAAGCCCAACTGGAACGGGCCCAAGTTTATGGACCGTCCGAAACTTTCCACAAAATGGCTCCGATCGCATGACCTTAAACCCGGCTTGATTTGTTTTTTTTTATTCATAATAGTATTTTTCTCTCATAAATTTCTTCAGCATTTCTTCAAACTATCCAAATTCCTTCAGAATTCCTCCAAGCGAACAGGCCCATTAAGACAGCCCAACTGGCCAGCCCACGAAAACACTGCACATTGCACGTTTTAGGGGTGAATGGAGGAGAGAAAAAAATAGAGCGAAGATCAAAACTTAAGCCGAATCAATTTAATCAAGGTTTATAGACTCAAAAAAATTAATCAATGTTTGCTTACATAGATTCTGTTTTTCTCACCTGTACAGGAGCATAGTTAGGGCCTTCATTGAATATAGTAATACGCTTGCGCTAAACATCAAGAAGCCATTTTAGAGGTTGCTCCTTATAGGAGATTAGAATCAGTAGAACAGTGGATAGTAGGCGTGAGGCGGATTATATATAGAAATAATAAAAAGGGTTGTCTTGGAGTATAAGATAAGTTAGGGTCGTATAGAAATAAACCTAACTATATCGGTTCTACTAAAACAATCATATATTTGTGGATACTCTAACGCTATTGCATGTTTAACTGGAATTTATGATTTTAAAACCAGATCTCGGTTCATGCTACACGGTTTCTTGGCTTGTCTCTCGTATTTAATTTGTATCTAAATCCAAGGGTTTCATAAGAATGTTTTGGTTAGTAACGGGTTAATAAGCCATCTCAATGGTACTCTCTTCGGAGAGTTTTTGTTGTAGTGGGTTGGGTTCTAGAAGTAATTAGGCAAAGTAATCAAAGAAGCCAATAAAAAACTATTAGATGGACACGTAAGATGATGGAATGGCAAAAACAACTAGCATTATACAGACGATTTGCATTGTTAATGGAAGATAGTAACATTTAGTGGAAGACAAGGCGGGTGTACCACCAGAGCGGGCCAGGTGGGCTCGAGCTCTTGCTACTGCTACTCGAAACATGGATCCACCCACCCAAAAGATAGTAGTCAAAGATATGCTATTGTAAGACTGTACAAAATCAACGATGACAAGTATACTTGACCGAATAGCGTCCAAGTTTATTAGCTACAAACCAAGCATTTGCCACATCACTACTCAAAAAATTACCTTTACCGTCGGCATCGTTCCGCTTGCAGTCAGCGACGATTTTTTTTAAATTTTAACAGTTTTTGATAACTAATTTTAAATTTAACGCTGCCTGTTATTTTTAAAAAACTAACACTTTTGGTCGCGCCTATTGCCCTGGCACGGCCAAATGCCTGTGCCGCGCCATGCATGGTGGCGCGTCAGCAGGCTGACGTGGCGATGACCGGATTCGGGGACCGTTGACGTGGCAGGTCCTGCCGCGCCACCGACCTTGGCGCGGCAGTGCTGCGCCCTGATCCGTGGCGCGGCTGGGCCGAATAAGTACCGCATGCGCGCCCGCCCGCCCGGACGCACCCCCGCCCGCCCGCCGCCAGCCGCCAGCCGCCAGCCGCACGCGCCCTGCCACCGCGCAGCGCCCGCTGCCAGCGCCCGCACGCGCCCACGCCCGCTCGGCCCGGCCTCGCCCGCCCACTCCCGCCACGCAGCGCCCGTGCCGGCCGCGCCACGAACGCCGGCGCGTCAAGGCCGCCCGCTCCTAAGGTACCTCCCTCTCGATTTCATATTTTTTTTATTATTGATTTAGGATAGTTAGTGATTTAGGATAGTTAGGGTTTTATGATTGTTATTGATTTATGATAGTTAGTGATTTAGGATAGTTAGTGATTTAGGATAGTTAGGTTAGTGAATTTGTTTGTGATTTACGTAGGTAGTTTTTAGGTTTGAGGTTGTGTGTTCTAGTATAGTTAGGATTTTGGGTTTAGGGATTGATTATGTATTTATTATTTAGTTTATAGTTAGTTATTTAGTTAGGGATTTTGGGTATAGATACTAGTTTACCCTAAACCTAAAAAGGTTTAGGGATTTTAGGAATTGATTATATATTTATTATCTAGTATAGTTATGATTTTAGGTTTAGGGATTTAGGATAGTTAGGTTAGTGAGTTTGTTTGTGATTTGTTTGTGAACTTACTAATGTTAATTTGAATTTTGTTAATTTGAATACTCTAACGTTTTGTTTATCAATTTGTAACAGGATGGCCCCTCCCATGCAGCACCCGTTGTACCCTATTCTTGAAGTGGAGTACGACGACCACCACCGAGCACACATCTTGAGTGACAACGACGCAGAGGTGGCCTTGCCTCCTTTGAGGTCCCGCACGCACACCAGGGCGCACCAGTGGGACGAGCGTTATGCGCCGTACATACGGTGTGCCGGCTTCCTCGAGTTTGTCCGTGTTGTCAACCACGGTCTTCCGCCCCTTGACCCAGCACTACTTACTGCAGCTGTAGACAGGTGCGAGTGCATTCTTTGTACGTAAACTTTCTTGTAATAAATTTGAGACAACTAACAGTCGTTCTATTCTTATAACAGGTGGAGGTCTGAGACCCACACGTTCCACCTACCTTGTGGCGAGATGACCTTGACGTTGCAGGACGTGAAGGCTGTTTTAGGCTTTCGGTTGGGGGGGACTTCCAGTGATAGGGATAGTTGACAACGATCACTGGAGGGAGCTGGTGGCTCAGTTTACTAGCTTTCTTCCATCGGACGACGAGGCTTCTAATAAAAATAAGTGAGAAATTTAAGCCTATTTAATACTTGCATTGCTTTCCTGCAGCCATGGGGTCTCATTTTCTTTGGTTAATTTCAGAAAAAGTTCCGGTGTTTCGTCGTCCAGGATCACAGAGCGCTTTGATTACTTGGACCCACAGGCTGAGGAGGCTCTGATCGACAGATTCGCTCGAGTGTGGCTTTGGCACTTTCTTGGTGCTTTCCTTTTCCCAAACGCCTCGGGCAACACCATCAGCTGGATCTTCCTTGACATACTACATCAGCCGTGGGAGAACATAGCGGCGTACAGCTGGGGCAGCGCAGTCCTGGCATGGACGTATCGATAGCTATGCGTTGCCTGCCGTCGCACCTTAGGATATGCGAACCTTGGGGGTTGCTCCTACCTACTGCAGGTTTGGTGTTGGGAACGATGGCCCGTTGGGAGGCCCCTTAATAATGGTTTACCGATAAGTATTTTGGTTCACTATATTCTTCGAGGTAGTTACATATGATGAGACTATTAATGGCTAATTCATTATCGTATTCAATGCAGCAATAGAACGGGCAGGATACACTCCCTACAGCTCTGTTTATCTGGACGGAATCAGAGTTAGTTAGAGGAAATGCGTGGCGCAAGTACAGGGAGTACACGGACGGTCTTGACGTCCTGACACAGCACCAGGTTACGCTCTCTTTACTATCATACCAGTGTCTTCTTCGATGTACACTATATCACAGCCTAACTCAATTACAAAATTTTAGATGCATTGGTGTCCTTGGGATTCTCTGGAGCTCCAAGACTATCTCAGTCATGTCACTAGGGATGAGTCAGACGAGTATCGCTGCGACGTCTCTCTTATTTTCTTCCATGTGGTCGAGATTCACTTGCCCATCCGGGTCTGCAGATAGTTTGGAAGAATGATAGGCTACTCACCACCGCTTTACTCCACCAATCAAGAATTGCATAGGTGCGTTATCGATTAATAACAATGCTACAATTCAGAGGCGTGTGGTACAACTAACATCGGTTTTGTTGCAGATATGACCGTAGGAAGAGGTACAAGACCAAGGATTGGCGCGTGACATACAGCGCGCACATCCATTTGTGGCAGAACAGGGTACGACATCCGGTCCATGCGGGTCCTCCACATGACCAGCACACATTCGACGAGTACCTGCGGTGGCTTCACAGGTCTACGAGGACACATATCAAGCCCCCGTACACTGAGGAGACGATTGACGAGGACTCGAAGGAAGATGTCATCGAAGATGTGTACGACGTTACCACTAGGGAGGACACACAGCTACAGAGAGCCCCGCTTCAAAGATACGTGGTAATATACTTGAATGGTATAATTTATTATCCTTTTGGTATTAAGTATGTGTACTAAAACTGTCCAACCGTGTTTCTGTACCCAGGCGACACAATTGTTAAGGCTGTCCAACGAAGCAGCGTTTCGGCTTCACGAGTCTAGAGAGCAGGGGCCAGGCGTTCTCGCGGCTTTTGTGGAGGTAAACATAAACTTGTCCGTTCCGAAAAAATTTCTTTAGTGTATATGCGTTTGGGTAATGCATTAACTTTAATGTCTATTTATGCAGAAGGTGAAGAAGAGCTGCAGGAAAGTAGCTCAGAAACTGAGCTGCATGGACACTCCTTATAAGGAACTGCCACTCCCGGTGCGGTCGGGTGGCACGTCTTCAGCCTCTTTGAGGACACCAGCCGGCTCTTCTCAGCCGATGACAGGTGCCACTTCCGCGGTGCGTACACCACCACATCATAGCGTTGGAAGGACCCTGCAACCGAGAACGACGATGACGACGACGACGACCCCCTGGGCTTCCGCAGACAGCACGACTAGTGGGACGATTGGCCGCAGGACGAGATCGGCATGTCTCAGCTAGGTGGTGCCCCGCTTGGTACCCAAGGAGCCTCACAGGTAATATCAAAGATAGTTTCTTCAAATACGTAGGCTCCATGAACTAATGATCATAAAGAATTATAAGTAATCATGCGTATCATATACTTGCAGGGTACGAGCCGTACACACCGTCGATGCGACCATACCGACGTTGGCTACACTCCCAATGTGTTGCCAACAAATCCGAAGAGACAGAGGCATCCGAGAGATCCTTACACTTCTGGGTCTTAGTTTGTTAGGTCAAGCGAATATTGGCGTTCGAAACTTGCGGGATTATTTGGTTATGTTATGTCAAACTTATGTCAAAATAATAAAAATATTATGTGGCAGCTTGTCAACTTGCGCACGGACTTCATTTATTTTCTTCATATTCGTTTCTTTGCGCCGCGGCAGCACTCCCGGCGAGATTAAGTACCAACTAGTTCGGGAACCGACAGTCCCGGCGTATCTCGACGCCGGTAGTAATTTTTCGTAATCGATTAGTTCAAATGGTGGTTAACCGTATTATAAAAGACGGAAAACAAATCATTGGCTTATCAAATTCTCTATTCGGCCGTGAAAAAAATTCAACAAAAGACAGAAACAAAACTAATATTGATTTTACGTCTAGCAATATTTAGAATAACTCCCACTATCGGCGCGACGCGTTCCGATTAAACCGTCCAGGTAGCACCAGGCGGGCGGTGGGCGTGGCGGCGGGCGTGGCGGCCGGGCTTGCTGCTCGGGCAGGCGGGACTGGCCGCGGTATTTATTCGGCCCAGCCGCGCCACGGATCAGGGCGCGGCACTGCCGCGCCAAGATCGGTGGCGCGGCAGGACCTGCCATGTCAACGGTCCCCGAATCCGGTTGTCGCCACGTCAGTCCGCTGCCACGCCACCATGCATGCGCGCGGCATAGGCATTTAGTCGCGCCAGGACAATAGGCGCGGCCAAAAGTGTTAGTTTAAAAAAAACATGCAGTGTTAGATTTAAAATTAATTATAAAAAGTGTTAAAATTAAAATAAAAATTCTCAGCGACCAGAGCACAGCGCGTACATTCGCAATCGATCGAGTTGTTTGCTTGTACACACGCTTAATTTGTGGTCAGGTTAGCTGTGCCATGTGATATGTGTACAGCCACCTTCCAGTCGATCGATCTGCTGCACGCTTTGTCGTGAACACACATGCATAGTACGATGCAACTACTTTCTCTTTGTAGCTAGGTAAGCTTTCGAATAGACTGCCTCAACCCTCAGTCTAGAAACAAGATAATTCTAGAATAATGCTCAGTTAAACTATCATAAGTTTGATTAATTAAGTTCATATAAAAAATGTTAATGCTTATCATACACTAAAGAAATATCATGTCACGAAATATATTTCCATAATACATATCTATGTAAGGTCTTAAAAATTGATACCGTTTTCCATAAACTTGGTTAGACTTAAGTTAGTTTGACTTTGACCAAACTTAGAATTGCACCTTTCAGGGACGAAGGTACACTACTGGAAACTCGAATACTGCTGTGGGTGATGAATTTTTCTATGCGTTTTTTTTCGATACTCATAGAAAAATTAGTAATTAAAGTGTGGATTTAAAAAACCGATAGAAAAATACGAAAAACCACAGAATAATTGCATGATTTTTCTGTGTGTGCCAAAACACATAGAAAAATTACAATTATTCTGTGCGTTTCTACAAAACGCACAGAAAAAAGTAAACACACGCAGAAAAAATAGAACAAGCGCCATCATACTAACTTTATATGAACAAGCGCATTTTTTCTTTTTAATCTCTCTCTAAAATTTGTAGCTAGTCTTTCGCCCTCATACTAACTCCAAATTTGATGATTTTTTCCTAAAATTTTCTGAAATCATGCTCTATCAATTTATTGTGTTCTTACGGCTATTATTTTGGTCATCTTTTCATGTGACTTTGTTTTATCAATTTAAAATTTGAATTTTCAAAAATGACAACTTCAAACAATATTTTGAAACAGTAAATGATTTCAGCTGAAAAAATCGTGAACATAAAAGTTGTTGAACTCATCAAGATCTATAACTTTTATTTTGGTCATTGCTAAGTGGTAATAAAATTGTTCATAAATTGACATATCTCTCGTATAGTTTCATAAACTATATGAGAGATTTATGAATTTGTGAACAATTACTACCATATTATTGTATGAAGAAATGATCAAAATAAAAGTTATGTATCCCGATGATTTGTACAACTACGTTGTTGATGACTTTTTCGGCTGGAATCATTTGCTATTTCAAAATATTGTTTAAAGTTTTCATTTTTTGAAATTCAAAATTTGAATTGTTCAAACAAAGTCCGATGGAGTAATGATCAAAATAAAAGTTGTATATCTCGACGCGTTTTATAAATTTGTGGTCTATGACTTTTTCATTTGAAGTCATTTGCTATCCAAAAATTCTATCATAGTTCTCATATTTTGAAATAATATTTATAAAAAATATATATTGACCGAGCCTTATTTAGCTCAGCCCTCCATCTCCCCCTGCCTGGGCCTGTTTGGCCCACTCGTCCGTGTAGCTCTCTTGATCGTCTGATTAGATCGGACGGCCCCTTAGTCGGTCAAAACCTGGGTCGTCCTGGCTTCCTGAACCCTAGCTTCTTTCTTCATCCCTCCTCCGACTCCTCCACTTCTCCCGTTCCACACGTAGCGGCGGCGCCTGGTGAGCCCCCTCACGCGTCGGGACTCCCAAATCCAAATCCAAATCGGAAGCCGACTCCAATTTGGATGTCTGACTCCCAACAATATAAGCCGAGGCAGAGCACCCTGTTGTCCCTGGTAAGGTTTGCTCGATCATCTCATTCGATCCATCCCGTGTTCATCCATCTTACTACTCTCCGCCCGCCGCCATGTCCTTTCCGGCCGTCAGTGGCCGCCGCAGGAGGAGCCGGGACTGGTTGCAGATGGTTGATACAATCCCTACTTCCAATCCGGTGGTCGTCGATGGCGAGATCTACTGGGTCAACGGTGAGTTGCCAATAATCCCCGACGACGACCGCCGCAGGCTGGACAAAATCCGGCGACAGCGGGAGGATCTGGATATGGTTTTATACGGCCTCAACCGCAAGCGTGCTCGAGCCCCCGCCTCCAGCGATGATGCCATCCAGGGTCTGCTGCGGGAGGCGAGGGCCGGCGACGCGGGGATGCCGGAGGAGTGCGCCGTGTGCCTGCGGGATTTCGACACGGACGCCAAGGAGACACTCAGGGTGATGCCGTGCTCCCACGCCTTCCATCCGTACTGTATCTTCAGCTGGCTCCGGGTTAAAGCTGTCTGCCCGCTGTGTCGTCACGCCTTGCCCACGCAGCAGCATAAAGACCCAGACTTTGAGGATGAAGATGACTCCGACGAAGACGACGCCGTAAATCATCAGGAGGAGAGCACACCGGTGGTGCCAGATCCAGAGGAGCCCTAACCCTAAGTCCTGCCTACAACAAACATTGGTGGAGCCGTGTGTGCAATTGTTGCCAAATGTACATGTACCCAAGCAATCTTATTATCTATCAGCAGTTCCTTGATCTACTATTATTATTACTCTACTGTGCCTGCTCATGGTACAGTACATATGTTCTAGTCCAGTGGATGAACTTTGCTTCGTTGTGCTATTGTATACTACTATGACAAATGGTAATGAAGCATTAACTACCTGCTAATTCATTACTAGTAAATAAGCCTAGAAGGCTTAGATACAGAGGTGAGTCTGTAGCTTTTTTAAAAAGACCACGATAAGATACATATGGGACTGATTAAAAATAAAAACGAGCGCACAACTAAGTAACATAGATGGTATCAAAAATCTTTGCATCTGAAGGACTAATTTATTAGCACGGACAATGCTTCAAATTATTAAAAAATGGCAAGGGCATAAAAGTAGTGTTTATATTGAATGCTACAAGAAAGAAACTTCTAAAGAAGACAAATAATTCATCGAACACCTGCATTCATTCTCATATGGATAAGACACATTGGGAATATGCTGAGTGGCAGTGACACATATTCCTTGAAGAAATGTCGCAACGCTTACTGAAATAATGCTATTTGGCGATAGGTCCTTCACTGTAAGTATAAAACCATACGTCCTGCAGAACACCACCACATCCGGCAATTAGGTTACAGGCAAAACCAATTAATTGGAAATGTAGATAGCCGTTTATGATTTGAAGTTTGAAAGACCGAACAAAGTTGCGATTGGCATAATACCATACTGAACTCCTTCACATATGCAAATATCAAAAATAGTTCCACACTAAATGCCTCCACAAAATTTTAGCCATATTAAACATCCCATCACTAGCTCAAAACACCCCATTCCCTAACTTGAGTTCAAACTTTGATATCCAAGAAACTCAGGAGGGACTCGATCAAATACCAAGACACCGTCGATGCCAACAAGACGCCCACATAATGGCACGACAGGTGGCTCGGTACAACCGGAAGTTCCTACTCTCTGTCATGGTTTCAAACCATACAGATTGCCAACAGGTTGATGCGATTCAGTGACCCATCACTTGCCTTGCAATGTGTTTCAAAAAGAAATACGGATAATTTACATAGCCTAAACGGAATCTAAAGCAACAAATTTGTTGTCTTCTCGAGCCACATCAAGATACTTCAGTACACAATCAGGCAAGGTCTGAGCGCCCCAAACTTCAGGTCCTCACACAACTAACGTCAATGGGACCCATTCTTCTTCATCCTCAGAAAGTTAACTAATGTGATTCTGGAGGGAACACCCGTGCCCTGCCTCTTCTTGATGGTAGTTGTCTTCCAAGGCCTCCCATCTCTTACACTGCTCGTGGTCGTCGAGGTCACGTTGTAGAACTGCATATATATAGACAAAGCCATGGTCAACACTACAGCTGTTCTTCCAGAGGAAGCTGTTGGATTTTCTTCGACTTGGGAAGATACTCACCTCACAAACACCATGCAGAAGCAGCCTCTGAAATGGGTCCTGGACATTCATCATAAGCACATCCTTGTCACTAGTATCTTCAATGAAGGCCCTAACTCGTTCCTGCAAACATGAAAAGGCGAAGGTGACGTGAGCAACTGACAAGCTGAATCAAATTGGCTGGATGAAAAGTTGGTACAAGTGGTGTAAATGAAGTCAAGAAAACCATAATTCTAATAAGTGGAAAAGAAAACTCTGCTCCAGTTTCTAGTGAGCAAAAGAATTTCAGTTATCTAGTATTGATACCAACTTTTGAAACTCATAAACGAATTTTAGCAAAAGGTGGAAACAAAGTAGTTACAGGGCTTTGGAGAATAAACACCAAAAATTTCTTTAACACAGCCTATGCACCATAGATATGATTGTAAGAAAGACATCTCTGCTTTTACAAGCATAGTGTCAAACTGATATATTTTTTTTTATACTGGAAACATAACAGTTATTAAACAGCTATGAAATAAACTTCACTGAACTTTTTTAGTCCAGAAACTACAAATAACAAACTAGATGTGGTATTGATAAATTATCTACATGTGCTTAGATAGCAGATGCAGACATATACAAATACACAATCAAGAACTCTGATGTCTTCTTTACAAGAAAAACTAATTAGCTATGATCCATTATAATCATTTCAATAAATATAAGTCCAAACTTGAGGAAAGAAGGCAGTACTTCATATATTTCAAGCAGATCAGGAAGGAAATTTCTCTTTATTGCTTCCCTAGTTTGGCGATCTATCCGGTGCCAGGCATTCAGCGCAATCAATTCCCCTTCGTCCACATGATTCCTGGGTTTTTGGGATGATCTTTTCATATGTTGCATCAATCTTGCCTACAAATAAGAAAAAACTTGCTAAATACAACTGATCCACAAACTAATGCATGGAGTGACATACAGATCTTCTGTCTCAGTTGTTCATTTCACTATATTATATTGTGGGCAATGATGAACAGAATGTGGCTAGCAAGAAAGGCATTAACATGCACGTACCTCAGCATCCATGTCAATGCTCCTGAAGGCATCCCATTCACCAACACTTGTCCTGCAGAATGCTGACAAGGGTACTTCCTCACCTGCATAATCATTATAATATAAAGATGAGCTTTTCCAAAGTATACACATGAAAATATCATGCATGTGATGCCCATGATTAATGGAAGAGTGATTCCATGTAAGAATTTGAATGAAAACATGCGATTCATAATACAAGAGCAACAAGCATATGCTTTGACTAAATATTTTTTTAGTATTGTAGTCCATGTGGAAGTTAAAATGGGCATGCTTAACAGAAGACAGTCTCTATGTTTCTGCCACATGCCAACATAATTTAGAGCTTTTCTGGTACACCACAACATGAAGAAATGTAACACTTTTGCAACAAATAGAGAAAGTACAACGAGAATATCTCGACTCCAAAGCTTTTAATACTGTAGTCCTTGTTTTAAAATGGGCATGCTTAAGAGAAGATGGCCTCTATTTTCCTGTAAACACACTGAAGAGCTTTTGTAGCACACGTATACACGAAGCATATCTAAAACATTTACAACAAGCCGTGCAAGTACAACAGCAAAGATTATTGTCAGGTTAGTAAAATTGCATTATTAAAACACTAAAGCAGCATCTGGAGTTTACCCCATGGTGGAGGAGCAAATAGGCCTTTGATTTCTTCAACATGAAGACGCGGGACAAGTTCAATCAGCAAACGGTCATTCATCCACTTTCGTGATCTCCGGTTACTGACCTGTATATATAACATTGTAATGTGTAAACCATCAACCGGTGAACCCCTAGTATACACAACAAAAAATGTTTCATTTACATCAGACTTGTATTCCATTACATTAAAGCCTGCAAACATAGAATATGTGATTTTGCACACTTTTTTTTTATTTGTCATCACAGGAGATGCACAGGAAATTTTTTACTTATCAAGCATGCACATCACAGAAGAAAAAGGGTGGCAAGAGGTACAGAAGGCCAACATCAATCAGGATGAGCATCCTCTCACCTTGGTGGCCATGTCCTCGAGGAGTTCAATCTTCCTCTCGATCAGCTGTGAGCGCGACTTGGCGCCATCGCCTGCGCCCACACGCCACAATTTCAGAAAAAATCGCTACCTCCGCCAATTTGGGGGCGAAATCCGCATCGCCATCCAAGAGACTCGTAAAGGCGTTACCTTTGGCGGAATCAAACAAGGAGGAGTAGAACTCCTCCTCCCTCCGCAGCAGATCCGCGCTCGCCATGGCTGGGGGAACCTTCTCTCCCACACGTCACAGTCTCGGGGTTCTGTGACTGCTGCGCGTGTCGATGCGGTCCCCGGTGATCGGGCAGCGCAGCGGCGGTTGGAGTGGAAGGTTGGGCCGGGCGTCGGAGGACGCGAGATCAGCTGACGGCGATGCTCCGGCGGCAGTGGCGGGTGCGCCTTGTGGAATCGGGGCGGACTGGATTGGGGATTGGAACTTTGGAAGGAGAGATTGACAGATTGTGCGCTATTGATTCGCCTTCCGTGATTCCGTCACGAGGGCATCAAGGCAGGAACAGACTTGGGTTGGGCTAGAAACTTTAGGCGCGTGTACGCTTTCCCAATGACAGTGGGACCGCCCTGTTATGGGCCCGCATATAAGGCATACGGGTTTCTTTTCTGTGGTCCCGTCTTTTAGACGAGGTCAAGCAGTTTTCCTGGTAGCCTCTAGCCGGTCTCTGGAATAGATTGGCGGCCACGGAAACGGGAGAAGGATATCCGGATGCCAAAACGTTTGGCCTTTTGTTGAAAAAAAAAAAAAAAAAAATTTGCCCTTTGGGCATGGGATCTTATGTGGTGCCCAACGGATCACGTCAACTTGTCAACTACTCCCTTCCTCGCGTAAAAAAGTGCCATTCTCACCTTGGTAGAAAGTAAACATTATCAACTTTAACAAATATATAAAATATATTACTATTTATGACATAATTAATGTTATTAGATCGTTAAATATATCTCTATAATAAATTTATTTGTAGATACAAATATTTACTAATATTTTTTATAAAACTAATCTCGTAGCGATATTTTTATTGGACAGAGAGTATACACTGTATAATGGTGTTTGGTTAGAGCAACTCCAACAGCCTCGGCTATTCTTGTTTTTTAGGCTATTCTAGAATTTATATAGTAAAAAATAGGCTCCAACAAACGTGCTATCTGTTTTTATAATATATAAAGCTGGCTATCCCTTGATTTTAGGTGGCCATATAAAGTCAACCATGAGCGCTAGATATCTGAAGATGAGAAATAGCAAGGTTATTGCAGACCTCTTCTTTTTTAAGGAGTTTGCTATTTTATAAAATGGCTAAACTATAAAATTTGGCTAGTAATTTTAACCAAACCGTTGGAGTTGCTCTTCGATACTTTAAATATCGGACAACACTGTGTAATGGTCCTTGTTTAGATACTCCATGGTATCTAAAGTATTTTTTTAGGACCAAATAAAACACATAAGGGCTTGTTTGAATAAGTTCATATCTATCTCAGTTTATGTGTGTTATAGCGGATCAAGGTGAAAATTAGTTATTTTTTTATCTCAATACACGTGGATTGAGATGGATATTAGTACATCCAAATAAATCCTAAGCAATTTGGCAAAATACTAACTTGCTCTCTACTGATTAGTTAGTTTCGTTGTCAACTTGCTCAATTTTCTAGTAAAATGCATAGTTTGAAAATTTTAGGTGCGATGCATAGATGGGGCTTATGTAGGTACACCATGGTACCTATATACATGCATGGATAGTTAGCTTAGTTTTATAAAACTAAGGACAAATTTACACATATCCTTACCTCACCTTGTCAAGCAAAAAAAAAGTGATTATGTGTTTGGATTTCTGACATGTTTTTCTGTTTTATGTGCTGGCAAGGTCGTTTTTTTCTTGCTATCCCAATCTAGTCAATTTAGCTCTTCTACCCTAGCAAAGGTAAGCTAGCACGCCCTCTCATGAGCACCGTGTTTTGGCCCCGCATGAGCACGACACCACCCGATGATAGGTGGGCCCAGTGGCTCTAGGAATTGCCGCCCGGTGATGGACATCCATGGACGCAGCCATACCCGTCCTGGTTTTGCTTCCCACGCCGCATCGAACGTCTCGGCGGACTTGGACAGCTCCGGCTTCACCACATCCTCCAGGAATGACTACACGGGCGGGAGCTGCAGTGGTAGCCTCAGCAAGAACAACACCCGTTCATCTTGTCATGGGTAGTCGATTGTCCACGACCTCCTCAACTCTGCCAGATTGGGGCCGACCACCAACTCCGTTAGCAACGCGACGTACGGCGACGAGGCGGAACCATCGTCCAAGAGTATTTCCTTCAGCTTGGTCACCACCTCCATCCGCCGCTTCGGGTGCTCCAGCGGTTCCCACAACTGAGCGACACATGTCTTGCAGCATCGGGACCAACTCCTCGCGTGCTTTGTTCGTGAGGGAGAGGTTCATGTAGTCGCTTGGATTCTTAGTCTTCCAATCCATGTACCGCATGATAAGCTCATCTAAGTTCCCCTTGGCCTGACTGTTCTTCTGCCGCCTTCGTGATTTGATGACCTTGCCATCATCAGGAGGATTCCAAGAACTCCCCCCGAATAGGATGGCCAGATTGCCGCGCCAGACGATGACACAGGTTTGTTGGCTGTCCAGATGGATCTATCGGCGCAGTCGTCCCTCGATGCAGTTGATGTCCCCTTGATGGTGCCTGCTCAGGCCATGGCCACCCTTGTATCCCTAGCGTTTCATCATTTGCCACACCGCTATGTTCTCCAAAAGGGACGGCGGCGTCAAAGTGCCTTCCGCTAAGGTAAGTGTTGTCTAATGGCTAGAAGATGACTCCAAGCAGGACTGCAGATCCAAAATGCCCCTCGAAACAAATTTGATGGGTTGATTGTAATCCATACTTGCGGCTACCATAGCGCCAGAGATAGCCTCTAGTCCCAACAGTGCCGGCACCGCATAGTCGTTGTTGCCATTGGCATCACCGTAGTTGTACTCCGGTGCCACCGTATGCTGGAAGTTGTCGCCGGTGAGCTCATCAGAGTCCATGGGAAGAGTAGACTGGGGACTCAGTGGGATGTGACTGCTCAGCGGGAGTCCTATAGAGGCAATTCCCAACACTAGGTGAAATGATGTCCAGAGTAAATGCTTGAAATAATGCGGTCGAATTGACATTGGGGCTTTTCCCCTTCTCGCACCAGGACACACGTCTCCTCAAGGATAGCCTTGGACTCTGGATCTGTGGAACGATGATTAGTATGAATAAAATAATCACCAACGGGCCATGTCGAAGTACTTTAGCAGTACTACTTTTCAGCATAAGCCAAATTTCATTACAGATATTGTTCAAGAATGGATGCAAATCTTATTAAAATTCATTATAAATAAAGCACTTGAGATTACAGCTAACAATCTAAGAACAACACGTCTCAAAACTAGAAATGAATTAACAAACTCACATACAATTTACATAGTCCATCACAAAAACTGATAATATAATAAAACAAAAGGCCGATGAGAATAATTAGAATCTTTAAACTGGCAGACCTTGCCAGCTTCACTCCCCTCTGTATATACTTCATCAATTACCTATTCACCATTTGGTTCAACAACAGTTGTATTGGACGTCATCGCCAGATCTTCACTCACCTCTGTATGTGGTACTTCACTGTTTACCTGAACTTGTTTGCTCTCAACTTCAGACGTATTGGGCTTCATTGCCGGTGCATGACTCCCCTGTGTATGTGGTACTTCAGTATTGGGGTCAACTTCTTTGTTTGTAACAGCAGTCGTATTGGGCTCCACCATCGGAACTAGACTCCCCTTTGTATGTGCTACTTCGCTATTCTCCTGAACTTCTTTGTTGCCAACATCTGTCTCCTAGTGCATCTCACCTAAGGATTTCTACGAATGATCGTCGCAAAGCATAGGATGAGGAAAATGTGACAAAAGCTGAGTACTAGGTGCCATAGGCATAGGCGGTAGCATACCCGTCTTGTTGAAAATGTATGCAAACTGATAGTCATTGTGTGCTCTGTCCTCCATCATCTGCTCAAGCAATGTCTGTTGGCCTAAAAATAACGAAGCCAGCGCCTCATTGTGCTTCTGTGATTTCCTCATCACAGCATCAAACCTGTCTTCTTGTGACTTTCTCATATGAATTAGTTCCGCTTGTAGTGATTGCATAAGCTCAAATTGTGCCTGTAGCGTATTTGGCTCAATCAGTGGCCTAGAACTAGATCCCGCAGTATCATCCCGCAATGTATAATCCTCGTCATCACTGTCGCTAGCCAGTAGTGCAGCACCAAGAAAACCCTGAAGCCCAGAACATGCCTCTGCCTCTCGTAAAGCTAGGTCAGCTTCCTCATTGTGGGGTGCACTAGTGGGGCACCGCCACCCTGTCCAGTGGCACCACCACCCCTAGGGCGGTGCCCACCTGGACCCGGTAGAGAAGAGGAAGAGTGAGGCGGCCACCGGAGCGACCGGTGTGCACAGCCGTGCGTAGGGTGGTGCACCACCTCTGGCACCACCATGGGTGTCTGGTGGCACCGCCATAAAAATCTAGAGAGCGGGGGAAAATAGGGAGGTCACCGCCGTGGGCACCGTCGCCCCGAGGGCGGTGCACCGCCTCTTTTCTCGAGAGACTTGGTCTCTCGGGCAGATTGGCTGGGTGGTCACCGCCACCCTGTCTAGTGTCCCGACGGATAGTTTTTAGCCATTGAAAAGTGACCGTTGGGAGGGTCACCGCCATGTCCGGTGCCCACGCAGAAAGCTGCTCCAAAGGGGTAACGGCTCTATTTGCTTGTGGGCTTATAAATAGAGCTAGTGGCTGGCCTTGGCTACTCTCTTGGCACTTCTAACAGCTGCATATACCCTTTGAGAGCTAAGTGCACCACTCCACTAACTTGCACACTTGATTTCATCATCTTGAGTGAGATTGGAGAGCCTCTAGTGCGTTGCTTAGTGTTCTAGCATCTTGTGGCACTAGTTGGGCGATTTGGGCTGGTGGAGTTCTTGTTACTCTTGGTGTTTGCCGATACCTAGATGGCCCGATGATTGCTAGATCGTTGAGCGGCTATTGGTGATTGTTGCCTGCTCCGATCATCGACATTGTGAGGGGTTCTTATGCCTTCCTCGTGGGAGATCACAAAAGGCATTTCTAGTGGATTGCGCATGACTTCTGTGATCCTCATCTTATGCCTTCCTCGTGGGAGATCACAAAAGGCAA